CAACCCAACCCACCAACACAAATCACCCAACCCAACCCAACCTACCCAACCCACCAACCCAACCCAACCCAACCACTCAACCAACCCACCCACCCCAACCCACCCAGCCCAACCAAGCCCAACCCACACAACCCACCCACCAACCCACCCAACCCAACCCACCAACACAACCCAACCACCCAGCCCAACCCACCCAATGCACCCAACGCACCCACCCAGCCCAACCCAACCCATCAACACAACCCACCCAACCCAACCCAACCTACCCAACCCAACCCAACCCACCAACCCAACCACTCAACCCACCCACCCAACCCAACCCACCCAGCCCAACCCAGCCCAACCCACCCAACCCAGCCCAACCCACCCAACCCACCCAACCCACCCAACCCACCCACCGACCCAGCCCAATCCAACCCAACTCACCCAACCCACCCAACCCACCCAACCCACCCAACCCAACCTACCCAACCCAACCCAACCTACCCAACCCAACCCAACCCACCCAACCCAACCCACTCAACCAACGCACCCAACCCAACCACCCAGCCCAACCCACCCAACGCACCCACCCAACCCAACCCAACCTACCCCACCCCACCCCACTCACCCAGCCAAACCCACCCAGTCCAGCCCACCCAGCCCACCCAACCCACCTAACCCACAGGGGAATTAAAGTTAAATGAAAGATGATATTAAACGTGCTACACGGGTCATAACTTGTATATAATAATTTACGTATATGCAATGTGAAGCCACAATTTGTGAAACCGGCAATTGATTTGCAGACAACATGAATTGATCCACTGATGTAATAAAAAACCTTAAGGAAAAGGATGATTCCGTTTGTTATGGTTGCAATAAAAGCATAAATCCTTTACTGCCAGTGCAATTGGTTCAATCTAAGAAAAATAACCTCTCAAACCTCTGTCTCTCTCCTGTCCCTCTTGATTATAGATCCTTTCTTAAGCAAGCATGGGTCTTTAAGTGTACATCCTGTCTGCACCTGGAAAAACGCTACCCGTGCACCTCTCTCCCTGTGTCCTAGGTCATAACAATGTTCATGACAACACTAAGTATTACGCTGTCCACACCAATGTCCAATGTGTTGGGGTGCCGCGAAATGGAATTGTCCAATCTTTCCCGCCATCTCATATTTTAAAATAATAAAGCAAACAAACAAACAAACGAAATGATGCTATCAACCATGCAGATATGGAAAATATATTAACATTTCGAGTGGTATGCTTTTTAGTTAATTATACGAGGTTGTGGTATTACTCGTTTTGTCATATTTGAAATGTTAACTTATGTATAATCATTGGGATTGATATATCATGAGATATAGATAAGAGCGACTGTGGCACATATTCCCAGGCTGTGCAAACATGACATATTTATGTATAGTCCATTCGTTTTTTTATTTGTTTATCCTTCCCATGACCTATTTTGTTGTTGTTTATGAAGCACCTGATTGTGGGTTTGTAGATGCTCATTAGTTCACGTTTTCAGTTGGAGAAAATATAGAATTACAGGACTGCGATTTGCAGATGTAGCAGTTTACTTGTGCTGACCTATCAGAGCTATTTCACACAGCGTTACAGTGACAAGAGCTGAGAATGGAGTGGGACACACAATAATTTGCATCCCACTGGCTAATGCTGGCCCTATACAGGTTCATTAAGTTCAAAGTATACTCTGGTGGATAAAAAAAAAACTAATAGCTGGAAAATATCAATCTGGAGTTAAAAATATTTTAGTGCACATCTTTGTATAATCATAATTTGTATTTCAATTCACATAAACCTTTTGCAGTAGCTAAAACTGAGTCCAGCATATATATATCTATTGGTTGGTCAATAATTAAGTTTTGTTGCCTTTTCCCCCTGGGTGTTTGAAGTGTGACAGTCCAGTTCGCTCAAGGTCTCCAGGATATATATTATAGTTTTGAATGCTTCTCTGGGTCTACAATTTGCTGTTTTACATTGCAGAGGTTAACAATTTGTTTTATGGCAAATGGATACCCCCATTTTTCTACAAAAAAGATAATGTTTCAGGGAATATTTAATTCCTTCGGTAGTTTCTCCATTTTCTGAGCTGACAGTCAAACATACTAAGCCATAATAAATTCTACTTCCAAGTTGGGAATCGATTAGCTAAAACCCTCATGTGTACAAAAAGCAAGGGACAGTTCCAAAAGGGGACACATTGGTCATGTTTTTCATTCACTATGAAATTCAGGGGGCATTCATCTATCTTATAACCCCATTTTTCAGGTGGATAACAAAACAAGATTTTATTCCCAGCTTAAAATATGAAAACGATACATCTACAAAGGGAATTACCATGCAAATGATTAAATGTAGAAGCAGTAGATCACCTGTGATATGACGTGGCAACGTTTTCATGCAGAATGTGTGGTGATTTGCATGATGCGATGTATGCAGACCTTAAGTTGATTGCTCGATTGTTTTTTTTATAATGGATATCAAAGCCTATGCATCACACGCTTAAAACAAAAGATTGAGCTGGTTATTTAAATGTTCGTATCATGATATTGAAGCCAGCAGATCTAAAATCTACGCTTGAAGGCAAATGAAATATTCATGGTCAGTCTGGATAGATTCTTCTGTGCAACAATTTTAACGGTCTCAATGGCAAACATCGATGTCAAACGGGTAAATAAGTAAATAAATCACCACGCAAAGGTCCACACTCATTGTAAACATTACATTCAATGAGTCGATGATTTTGGTTTCGTACTTTATTTGGGAATACTCGGAGATTAGAGTATCAAGTTCACGTGTAGACCTAAGTGTCGAATTCATTTTTCATATGGAGAATGTGATGTTGGAAAGGTTTCCTCTGAGTGCCCACGTGTGAGTCACCACACAGTGGAAAACTCATGCGCTCTGCTCCCGTCACTCAAGTTTGGGCACTGACACTGTAAATGGTGCAGCAATCTTTCTGCTGTGGAAAAGCTATTTTTAAAAAAATATAAATCAAGCTCTTTTACATTTAATGCTGAGAGTTTGATATAGAAACAATGACCCTGAAATACTTACGCGATAAATTGTGATTTAAAGCTTTCGTGACTGCAGTAATTCATATTCTTAGCTCTTTCGTTAAAGTCACGTGACTTTACCGAAAGAGCTAAGAATATGACTTACGCGATAGTTTACACGTATTCATATGCAATTATACATATTCAAGTAAACTTACAATGCACGCTCACAGTATCAGATAAAATGCGGCATTTAACAAAAATATACAGCATTTGGATGAATAAGATTCGCTTTCTACGACTGATACAATTGGTGGACATTTAATGCACTTAAAATTATTCGCACAACTTCACATTACCATCAGATGTTAGCGTTCCGCCATGGTAACTCGCAAAGACTTAGACGCTGCAATGTCACTGCAAGAGCAATAGTCTGGGAAAATAAGAATTACTACCTGTCTTACCACCAATTAACAGACAATCGGGCTTACTTATAGCTTATCTATCTAATAGGAGCTGGCTTCGATAATCTATGCAGGAACATGTGGGACTTGTCAAAGCTGCACATTTTGGAAACCAAAAATTCGAATAGACTCTACTGCGTGGTTTTATTTAACTTTTTATCTTTATATCACTGCGTTCAATGGTGGTTGATTCTTCGTCGAATCTGTCAGTTTATTAAGTGCCAAGTCATTAGGGGTCGAATTAAATATTGAGAGCTAAGCAAGTAATGCATTTATTCATGAGCGCAAAAATCTATATGTATAAAAAATATTTTTTTTTTACATTTAATGGTACCATACAGAAAAACAATAGGTTGTTCTTTAAAATTATCACGTAAATCATATATTTATAATCTTCTGTATATTCAGATGCCAGAACCACTACAGTTTCTGATGCGCAAAATAGACGATTAGAGCATGTTTCTTTGTGAAGAGGCAAACATTTCCTTGCTCAGTCATATCTGCACAAGCAAAAATTAAATTAATTGCTTTTAATCTTGCATGATGCAAGTGCCTTTGGTTACCAAAAATCCATAGTGGAATTATTATAATCATATATGTAAACGTATCGTAATTATTATCGTAATTTCCTATAGCAAATGGTTGGTCATAGAATAGAGGGATAACCTTTCTAAGGTCCATGAATAAATATTTTATCATTGTTGCTTAGTCATCTTAATACCTTATGGAAAATATTTTTTCATTGAAATGTCTCACTGTACTAAAAGTTCGAATTGTGTTTATTCATAGCGATAATAGTTTTGTAACACAATACAGCATACAACAGCGAAGCGTTCAAGGGACTAATGGGATAAAGCTGAGGCAAGAAGAGCGACTTAAGTTCGAGGCTCTTAATTCTTCAAGAAAACTGCTTCGAAGACGACGTTTGATATTATTTGACTCTGGAGCGGGAGAAATGCTTCCAAGCCGCGCACGGCAATGTCCAAAAAAATAAAAATATTCACGACGCTTGTCAACTGCATGGTGGCGGTTAAGATAAATAAATAAAAACACAACAAAAATATGACCAGCACCCCCCCCCCTCACACCCCCTCGACCCCCCCCCCAAACAAATGTGACGGGCACACCACACGCACAGCTTGTCCGATAATGCGTCGCTCGGTGCGGAGGGCACACATTGGCGACGTGGACGCACAGCAAAAAAAAAGGGGGGGGGGGGAGGAAAATAACCGAAAACAGCGTGTAATAAATGCTACAAATAGCGACCTCGGCTCTACTCATGTTGCAGGATAGGATTTAACAAAAAAAAACAACCCACGGTATTTCCCTATTGCCAATTATCAATGGTGGGTACGCGACGGCAAGGCTTATAGGGTTCGAGCGTCAAAGCGCCTTGTTAGCGGTGGAGCAGCAGGCAGCCCGTGTCACTGAGAGACAAGGGGAGGAGAGGGCAGCCAACGCTCAAGACAACACTCTCGCTCTCTCCCTCGCTCTCCCTTGCCTCTCTCTCTCTCTCCCTCCCTCCCTCTCTCGCTCCCTCGACCGCTCCTCTCTCTCCCCCCCCGGTAGCGCTTCCTCGCCCCCTTAAGCCGCTCGTAATTATGAGCACAGAGCCGATAGATGCCGGCGGAGCTGCAGAGAACGGGGAATTTACCGCACCTTTTGCCGAACCGCGATGCGTTCTTCGTCTGAGAGAGTATTTTGCCGGTAAGGTTTTTTAGTTCGTTGTCTGCGTTTGCGTTGTTGCTTTCTGGCTTTGTGGTGTATATTTTTTTGGGTTGTCTCGTTCGTTTGCTCTGTCTAGTAATAATTTGTTCACGCGCAATTCTTTTCTACTGTTGTATTTATATGCAAGTTGAATGTATTTAATAAGGCGCTTCAATGATGACGAAGTTTATTTATGTATTTACATACAAATGCAGAATCCTGTGTTTTTTAGTGTCGTAATACATTCATTATTGTCCTGTGGCAGTTTAGTTCTGGACAAGGAGTGGGTGGGGGGGGGATGCAACTCAACCCAAGCAAATATCGTGGAATGGGAAACACAGCAGTTACAATGCTATGATTTCACAGCCTTGTTGTGTGTGAGTAATGGACTGCATTTTTAGATATTTTCACCACATCCAACACGCGCGTTTTTACAAAGGTTTGTCGGTGGCACGTTGTGCATCAGAGCAACGTGAATCGCGATGAATTTCGAATTACCATCAAAAATATGAATATTACAGTGCGTCCTTTATAATTGAGCGCTGCATTATTTATCAGTTAAAAATGCATTAATTACACTCGCTGCGTGGTGCTGCTTTGACAAAGAAACAGGCAAATTCAGCAGCATCCAGGGAGGTTCTCCTCCGTTCGCTGTGCCTTTTGGTTTTCCACTGCTCGGAGAGACACTGCGCGTGGTTGAACACTCGCGAAGCCAAGTTGGCCACTTGGCCGTCGTTGTTGATGAATGGCAGCGCGAAGAACAGCGGATGACTCAAAGCGACGCTCGCCCCTTTCGCGTCGCGATGGATGGTCAAAAGAAAGTAACGTGGGCGAGACGGTGAGGGAGCATCGGAGAGTGAACGCACGAAAGGGGTACTAGCTTGAAAGCAGGGGCCGCACAATTGGCACATTTGAACGGCGGCGGCGGCGGGATTATGATGGGCGACTAAAATGAATGCGGCCAGCTACGAGGAAAGCCTTTGTGCTGCTGATGAACCGGTAATAATTAGAACAATTCCCTCATACAGCGAGGTAATTGAATGTGCCTGCCTTAGCGGGCTTTCCTTTTTTTTTTCTTCCCAAAAGTGGGGGTATCTTATCCACGAGCGCCAAACAGTGGCTATTCAGATCCAATTATCCGCACTGCTTAATTAAAAAGTATTTAATTAAGCAAAATAACGAGATAGCATACCATTAGCGTTGCCGTGGCGACCAAAGCGGTTTGCCTAGGGAACGAGCGATGGAAAGAGATGGCACAAATGACGTTGGACGGAGGCGCAGAATGCTTGTTATTGTCTTCCACTTTGCCCGTGTGTTAATGTCTCGTGAAGCTACACCCGGTGTCCCTGCAGGGAGCGTATCACATAGGCACCCGATGCTGTCGGTGTGAATGTACTTTAATTCCATTTCCTTGCTTCGTACAGCATTATTTGCCGACTGTAGAACGCGTTACAGACGGCCTCAAGGGTGGCTCGCGTGCCACATGTCAGAGGCTTGAATTAAATATGCCACGCCGCAGTGGATACCACCGTGTGATATCGTGATAATAAACGTAACTATATGAGAACAGTGCGACAATATTTTTTGTTTGTCGTTACACAAACACAGAGAACGCGTTGAGCGAAATGAATGGACAAAAAAAAATCTATACATACAGCAGAGATCTCGATTGTAATCAACGCTCAAGGTGCTTTGATTGCCTCGCTTGGATGACCGGCCTGCATGCGTGTGTTCATTCGACGCACGGAGCAATCCCAGCAGCCTACACGGTAAACACTCCCCGGACAGCCGCAACCGCTGGTCTTTTTTTAGACCCGCACAGACGTGTGCGATACTACAAACCAAGCTTGTTGCTGGCAGCGCCGTCTGAAAGAAATCGTGCGCGGTGCGCGCATCTGCGCCAGAGGTTCACAAACCGCGCCTGTGCGACCCGCTCTCTCCTTGCCCCCCCCCCCTAACCCTTGCCCGAGCCAGCTTGCCAAAACGGAACTTGTCGCGGAGCGCCGGAGGCACAATTGCCAGCGCGAGCCCGAGGCGCTGTTCGCGAAAGGTTAATTTTCCTTTGGGATGCGAACAAAAGATTACTCTGTGAGCACAACCCCAACCGCCCTTGTCGGCGCGTTCCAGCGCGAGCGTCCAGTGGCGAAAAACGTGGCACCCGTTCTGTTGCAGACGAAGCAGATCGCATCGTCAAGTGCGAAATAATACCGGTCAAATAACCCGTTATTACCATGTTTCCCCCTCTCTGACGTACATGCAAATTGCAAACATCTAGTCTTAAAATGAATTACTCGTCACACTGAATAATCCCAAAATGGCTGTACTGAGGGAATGCATTATCAAGCGAAGTGGTCCGTGGTCAAAGGTCAAATCCACTTGCTACTTCAAGTGTACACGCTGCATACGTGCCGCTACGAAATCCAAGTTCCGATTAATTAACTTTTTCAACAACGCCTAACAATCAGCTTGGTTTTCTGTTCCATGACAAATTGCCCACTCGAGACCAATCCCTTTGTTACCTAACTTTACTTTTCATTGTCAATCTCAGTTGCGGTACCGTACTTGAAGCGAGTTTACTCCAAATTCCGACACTCAATGCAACTGGAGCTTAGCATTAAATAACTGTGGAAACAGACTTTTTTTAATCAAGAGATTTCTCCCATGACGTGCAATTCCTTTCTACAGGAGACTTTGGCACCCACTCTTTACCCCACTGTGAGTCAATACACTGGTTGATATACTGCCGCGTCTTTTTGCTCCGCTATCAGATCGACAGGAGCAATGTTGGATGAACAATCTACCAACGTTTTCAACGTTCGGGAGACCGCGTGAATGCGTTCCTAAGCCTTTTGCGGCCTCTAACCGACAGCAGACAACACGAGGAAAAAATATATTATTGTACTGAATTAGCCGGTAGGCTTAGGAGTGGGAGGCATTAATGACCTTAATCCTACTACGTGTAACCCATCTTGTAACAGAATGGGTGATCAGAGGCCTTTATTTGTAACATTCTCCTCCCTGTCCAATGCATGTCAAGTGTGCCATGTGAGTGAATGAATGGGGAAGATTTGGATGCGTAAAAAGTTATCATTGCGGTTGCTTCAAGTAAGGCTGTATGACGGCTTATGGTAATGGTAAAAACGGAGTAATGCAGGGAAGGAGGTTGCTGTTGAGGGGCAGAAGACTGTCCAAAACGTAAAAGCTTCATCCACCTACCCACAAATGGAAATAAAGTGTTTATTCGGACAGACACGTACCTGCTAAGGGCCAAAAAAAAAGGAAATACAGTATTACTGTACGCCAAGGCCATAGCCTTGGCGTCAACATTGGGGGAGACCAAATCTTCCAGGGGGTCTGCCCCCCCCCCCCAAGAGAAATATCTAAATTTGAAAACGAATTTCCTGCCTAAAATATATATAAAAAATGCACGATTACATGGGTTGGACTTTATTTGTTATTTTTTACAATAATGTCTAATCGTGTATATTGTATTACATTGCTCTGTTTTTTCTTTTTTTTACTTTTTCTTGTTTCATTGTATGCAATGGCAGATATTAGGGATTAATTCGCGTAGTCACTTTAAGATGTTCTATGTTTTTACCCGAGTCAAGCGCCGCATGGCTCACAGGCCTATACCAAATACATGAAACTGAAATAAAGTACAACCATAACCACAATCATATTAACATAAATTTATGCATTGTTATATGAAGACAAGTCCAGATATTGTGGAAAAGGTTTAGAAAATTGTTGTTTTTATTTACATATTTACAAGTAAACTTGGGTGGGCAGCAGGGGCGTTTGCTTTGCTCTCCTCTCCTCTCTCCTCCTCTCCTCTGGTCCGATATTCTCCTCTCTTCTCCAGTCATCGTTTTTCCTCTCCCCTCCTCTGCAGTCATTTCTGCTCCTTTCCTCTGCTCTCTTCTCCTATCCTCTCATCTTCTCTCCAGGCAATGACAAGTGTTTTGACTTGCCATTCTTCAAGCAAATGATCCAAAGGCCTTTTTGCGCTTATCATTGACACCGGTAAAAGACTGGCATATTCCTTCAAGGTCCAGTCTGTCCAGTTTCTCCTGGTGCACGTGACACATGGCCACATTATTCATCCCTGTTTGACTCGTCGAAGATCTAAGCCATGTCTTAAGCCTCCTCAGGGCACTAAAACTCCTCTCAGCCTCTACAGAGGAGGCAGGGACGACCAGAAGAAGCCTTACTAAAGATTCCACCTGACTGAAGAGACCTCTCACTTCTGGCACCGTTTCCATAATAATGCGATCAACATCTGAGCTCATTTGATATGTGTAATTAGCCCCAAATATGGGCAGCTGCACCTGCAGTAGTCTTGAATTCAATTCAGGATACTAGTCTACCATCTTGTCCATGTCTCCGCGTAGCAGCACATTTTCAAGCTGCTGCAGCTTGTGGAATCCAGCTTGATCAAACCTCTCTATGAATTTAGTATTCACTGTGTCCAAGGCGTTGTAGAATTGGGCTCTGTACAAAGACTGAGCATCCGGATGGATATGGGCTGCAGCCTGACCGGTGTAACGCTTTGTAGGTTTGCGGATACGAGGCATCTGAATAGGTTGTAGGTCCAACTTTGTTGCCATAGCAGTTGCTTTTGCGAACAAGACATCAAAGTGCTCCTCCCTTCGCTTGTCCTGCATGCTTGTTTTGACATGGTCCACAGCCTCCAACATGCCTGAAACAGTCTGTTTCCTAAGCTGCAGGGAGGTGTTCAGGCACTCCAAATCCCCCATCAGGTCTTCAGCCATTACAAGGCTGAGCAGTGTTCCCTTTTAGAAATGCTCCATGAAGACCATTGGCCTTAGTTGAAGTGTCACATGAGCTGCATGATGCCATTTCTTCAAGGGCTGTGAGCACTGACTTATACTGGCTGAGAACTGAGCAGATGTCAGGGGTGCGAACAGTCCACCTGGTGGGACAGAGAGGTTTCAACGAGGTGAAACCATGCTCTGATTTTGCGATTTCCTGGAAAA